TGTCTATATTTCCAAGGCTGGTGGTTTCTAGATGAATCCCAAAGATTCCTGGCTACTATCAGTAGTTATATTATTTCTGAATAAGGTCCATTTTTGAGTCTGAAGGCCCTAAGGAATGGGCTTTAATTCAGCTTTCCTAGGATTACCTCATTCTGCCTCTGATTCAAAAGCCTGGAAAAGAAACACACAAATACATACAGACAGACAGAAAGTAAGAAATTGTCTTTACTAACATCAGAACTTAACCAAACACCTTTGAAAAAATGTAATTTAACATAATTTAACAGCAGTCTTTCTTAGATAAGAACCAGGAAATGTCTACAGCTTAACCTCCTTAAGGAAGTCTTACAGTCTGGCTTTGAGGAAGCAGCTTCTCTAACCATTTCAACGTCTTCCAATGATTTGTTGTTTCAAGTTAGTCATTCTCATAGTGATGGTCCCAGTAAAGCTTTTTTTTTTTCTGAAAAGCTGTGGTAAGTCAAAACCTACTTCAGAGAATACAAAGTCACCACTCTGGGGGGCTAAGAAGAAGAATATGGTTTTCTATATTTTTAGTTCTTTGAAAAGAAAGAAAACCTCAAACTACTGAACCAGAGGTGACTTTTTTTTTTTTTTAATAAGCGTTCTAGTTTGGGTTTAGCATTTCATAAGGGAACAATGGCTGACTCTATTTTTGTTGAGCACATTCAAAAAGTTATAGGGTTCTGACATCCCTTGTATTCCTGCTTACAGAAAATAGCTAAAGAAACTGTTAGTACCTCTTCCCTGAAATGAGTATTTAAAGCATTAGTGTTAGTGTAGTCGCTCAGTCGTGTCCGACTCTTTGCAACCCCATGGACTGTAGCCCACCAGGCTCCTCTGTCTATGGGATTCTCCAGGAAGAATACTGGAGTGGGTTGCCATTTCCTTCTCCATTTAAAGCATAGTAAGTTATAAACCTGTCTTCATAAAATCCCAAAGGTGTCCTAGCAGAGCAGACTCAGATGCATAAACGGACCAGTAGTGCCACAACTAGCTAATGGCATCAGGTCCCCTCTGGATGCCCAGCACCATTCCTATTTCCTCTTTGCTCTAACACCATTATCTAGAAGGGCCCATCGACCCCCCAAAAATGGTCCAGCAAATTTCCCGTGACCATTAGAACCAGTTTACTTCAATGGATGGAGCCATATGAAGAAGAAACTGATGAGGAAAATTTCACTGTGAGGGTTGGGAGTACAGACAATCAGCCAAAAGGAGGGTGAATACCTCTCTTTCTCCACGAGGTGCCTGGTCAGAAACCTTACCATATAAAGCAGATTAATCAACAGAAGAGTTTTAAGATCAGGTGACATACTCCAATCTGGACCTTTGTTTTGTTCACTAATTTATTCAACAAATATGTATTGAAAAAGTGAAAGTGTTAATTGCTCAGTCATGTGCAACCCTTTGTGACCCTATGGTCTGTAGCCTGCCAGGCTCCTCTGTCCATGGAATTTCCTAGGTGAGAATACTGGAGTGGGTTGCCATTCCCTTTTCCAGGGGATCTTCCCGACCCAGGGATCAAACCCAGATCTGCTGCACTGCAGGCAGATTCCTTACTGTCTGAGCTACCAGGGAAGACAAATATTTATTGAGTATCTTCTAAATGACAGTTTCAGCTCTAATTACCTAGAATTTTTTCTCAACATTCTCCCAAAAGCTCCTGGTAATTCCAAGGACCAATTAGATCTTTCTTGTTTTCTAATTCCATGAATTAGGATGCACATTTTTTTTTTCATCTGTAGCCTCAAACTCCCATTGGATAATCTAGTCAAAGATGGATAAACATGCACACACATCCATGAGGCAACACAGCTATAGGTTTACTACTCTGAAAAACATATCCACTGAAAGGATTTTGCCTTATGATTAAAGTTATTTAGTCAACAAATATTTATTGAGCACCTAATATGTGCTGGCACTGAGTTAGATAATCTGGAATACAAAGGCAAACACAACAGAAAAGCTCTTGCTTTTGGAACGTTTATTCTAATAGGAAAAAAAAACAGATTTTTTTAAGTGGTCAAATAAATAACCTAACCAGATTCCTGGCTAAAAAAAAAAATGGAGCTCATGTGTATGGAGAAAACCTTCTCAGATGTTTGTCTCTACCAGGAAAATGAGAAACAAAGCCATTACTGATGGAAGAGGAAGGTTAAAGAAAGGTTTGGGTTGTTTTGTGGTTTGATTTGTCTTTTAGTGAAAGGAAATACTTGAGTATATATGTATTACATGCTAGTGGGCATTATTTCATAGACAGCTAGTTTGAAGATCCAGAAGAAAGAAGAAAAATTTTAAACAGGTAAAGCAGGGAAGAGGAAATGAGTGTAGTGCACAAATAGATGGTCCTCTTCCTCCTCTGTATTGGATGGAAGAAAGAGATCATTCAGATGCATGTGGGTTTGTGTTTCAGTGGTAGAAGTGAGATTCCATGGTGGGAGGAGGAGATGTGGTTGGTTTACAAGAGGAAAAGACATGATGTAATTGTCTCAAACAATGAAAAAAAAAAAAATGCTCGTGAAGAAACTGAAGAAAAAGTGGTGGGCCTTTGAATGCTGATTTGAAATCTCTGATCACTAATAAAAAGCAGTGGTTCTCAACCAGGAGGGATTTTGTCTCCCCACTCCCAGCCTGGGGACATTTGGCCTCATTTGGTGATATTTTTGGTTATCACACATGGTGGGGAGAGGAATGCTACTAGTATCTAGTGGGTGGAAGACAGGGATACTGCTGAACATACTACAATGCACAGGCAGGACAACCCTCACAATAAAGAATTAGCCAGCTCAGAATGTCAATAGAACAAAGGTTGGGAAACCCTGACAAAAAGTGATGCTATATTTATGTATAGACCATCTCGCAAAAGCTACAGAAGGAGACAGTGATCTTCCTTGTGGGCAGAGGTGGAGCCACAGGACAGGATGAGAAGAGGACTTACTTTCATCCTCTATCTTCGTATACTTATACAATTTGTACTATGTGCATGTATTACCTATTCAAATCAATCAAAAGACAGAAATAATTCACTGATAGATAAATAATTGGCTGATTTAAGTAGATGATAGATAAAAATAAAATGAAACTAGTCAATCAGTTTGAGTCATTTTTCTCCAGCGACATCCAACTGCTAGGATGCCAGAATAAAGAAAATGAGATTTTTACAAGAAGAAAATAGTGACTATAACAGAGTATTTTGGAGTTCAGGGTCTTTCCAAGGTACCAATTGTAATGACAGATCATGCAATCTAAGCTGAATAGAGAAAAGAGCGAAGATTAAGAAGGAGATGATAGATAAGCAAGAAAATGATACTATTTATTAATTGAATGCCAAATATGGAAAAATATATATTTTAGGAGAGAAAATGTTGGATCAGTTGAGTTGGAATTATAGGAGATTGTATTGTGAAAATAAGGTGTTGAAATCAAATTCTAACATAAGTGTTATTTTTAACAGTGACAAAGTATAAGGAGAAGTCATGGTAATGAGCATTTGGACAAAATAAGAAAAGGTCATTGTGACTGACCAAGGTGAGAAGGCAAGAAACAGGTGTTTGGATGGATCTCTCAGATTTGTAGCTTCTTCTGCAGAATGAAGTACCTCCCCTTATTAATAATGGAAGATACTATTTTTGACATTCCACTATGTATCAGATACTTTATGTATGTATCACCCCCCCCCTTTTGTCCAAAAAAGGTCAAGTGACCTGCATAGTTATTAAGTAGAGGAACAAAGATTCAAATTCAGGGTTTTAGGCCCAAAGTCTATGCCCTTTGCATTGTGCCATGTCTCTGCCCCTAGGAAAAGACAAACTGTCATCAAATTTATGGGAAATGGGTGAGCTTAACACTGGCAGTAATACTGGTAATGGAAACTCTGGGCAGTAGGAGAAAGAAGGGAAAGAGAATATAGTGAGGAGAGGAGAACCTGGCAAAGATGCAAAGGTTTTCCTCATAACTCTTCTCACACTAGTAAATTCTTCTTTAAGTGGGCTTAAGTCATAATGAATGAGGAAGCCATGGAGAAAAGAAATAATAAAGAAAATACACAAACCTTAGTGATTTCCAAATAGAACACTCATAATGTCTACCTATATTATAAAATATAGTTTTTGTTATGGGTATTCTTTCATTAAAAATGTACAAAATACATATAAATATGGTTATATTATGGGAAAACAACATTAATAACTGACAAAGAGCTTTGAAGACTATTAGAGTTAGTTGCCAAAAAGCATTCAAAATCTACCACCAAACGCAGCCCATATTCTAACATGCCCTTCCCAATTTCCACATTCTTTCTACTTATGCTACCCTCTAGTCACATACTCACACTCACACTCACACTCACACTCACACACACACACACACACACCCCTACAATTGCACTGGAAATATACATGCTGTATAGGGAGTGTATTGAGTTCCCAAAAGATTTCTTTTGCTTCTCTGTTAACATCACCTGATGGCTCGGATTGTACATCTAGAAATAAAGATGCTGCCAGTGGGACACTGGCCTTTCAGTCTCTTTAGCTTATCATGCAAGCCTGGTCCTCTTTCCCCATCCCTTATACATTCACGTCACATCCATACACATGAAAGACAGCCTCCCCTGAGGTAGACAGTAGACCCACCCCAAGAGGTGAGTTAAAAGGTGCCATTTTCAATGTGTCCAAATGCACTGGGCCACTTAAGGTGAGTGAAGCTGCTGGCGCAAGCAACTGGCAGTCACTTTTCCCTGCCTCTGCATCTCCACGTGGCAGCCCAGAGTTTATGTTCATTACGCAAGTCCTCCTGTCTGGTTGGTGGACCTTAGGTGAGAGAAGGAACTGTAGACCTGCTGGACTCTGTAGTCTCAAGATCCTCTTGGTTCATGTCTTCTCTCATGACCTCTAGTGGACTTAAGAAAACTCTCATTCAGGACAATATTCTCAGGGCCTGTAACAAGGAATCACAATGGAGAGAATCCCAGAGTGCTTTTCTTAGAGTTTATATAAGCCAAAAAATGTCTTAGATTCCTCAAAGCTGACCAGAGAGAGTTCAGAGACATTGACATATAAATGGTCAGCACTGGTGAGATTGAATACAGCCCCCAGGTAGCTGCTGCGGGCCCACATCTTGCCAGTAGTGCAGTAGTTCATCATCTTCCCCTCCATCAGCACCATGTCCTGGGGGTACCTAAAGTTCCTGGAGTAGACCTTGTGGCTCAGGGGCTGGTTGGTGCAGGACTGACTCCGGAAGTACACTTTGGAATACACAAAATACAGCCCAGTTTCATTGATCACGAGGCTGCCGTTCTTGTACTTCACCCCAGAGACCAGGGCAATCCCATAGGTGTCTTCCCATTCCAAAGGGATGGATCTTGAGTTGGACTTGCCTGAAATCAAACCAGAGAGGAGCTTTCAGCCAGGAATGCTCATGTATCCCACAGAGCAAGCTTTCAAGGAATGTGGACCATTCCTTGAGCAAGTGCTTTTTCCCTAAATGACATAGAACTGGGTGATGGGTCAGACCTGACCTGTCACTGAACTTCTTCATCATGTTTATCAAACTGGCTCCCTCAATTTTATCATCCACACAACTGGGTCAATAACATATGTCTCTAACCAACTACAGTGAGAAAAGACTAGGATGATTTTAGCTCTCTGAAACAGAGATTCTATGAATAGAGGTTCAGAACTAGCATCCAAACTGCCAGAGTTTGAGTCTCTTCATGAGAGGAGAAGTCAAATCCAAGGAACTCTGAAGTTCTAAAGGTGAAAAGGACCTTAGGAATCATCTAGTCCAACTCTTTACCTACATGAAAGAGTCTTCAGTGTGGGCAAAAATCCCCTTTCCTGTGTATCCACACAGCATGGTATACATACCTACTTCAAGCAGAGAATGCTGGAAATATTGCTTTCCTACCTGTCTTTCCCTATTAGATTGTAAGCTCCTTGAAGGCAGGAGCCATGTGTGATCCACCTCCATGTGCCCCAGGTTTGGCACACAGCACATGCTCAAGAAATATCTGTTGATCTAAACTGGATCATTTTATAGCCTCTACTGACATAGTTTCAGGGATAGCAGCATGCCCGTTTCTGTGATACGCATCTACCTTGCATATATTGGTGGACTTCACTCACTATCTTGCTATCAAGTCATGTCACTCCACTGCACAATCATGTGTGCCAGGACCCAGACTCCCTTCTCCTATTTCAGCTCATGGACAAAGCAGAGTAAAACTCTTCCAGAAAACCAGGGCAACACATATTGAAATAATTCACTGTTCACCATCTCCCCAGCTCTCACCTCTTGGACCTGTGTCCCAAATTCCCTAACGGTCCTTGGAGTGAGTGAATAGAGTGAGCTCCTTATGAGCAGGAATCATGTCATAAGCAGCTCCATTTCTCCAGTTTCGAGCAGGGCCTTGCCCAGAGCAGAGCCACCCTGTGTGTGTGTGTGGTGTTGACGTAACTAGAAAGATGTGACTACTTTTGGGTTTCAAATATTGTCACTGGAAAGTATCAGCTCCCTCAGAGCACAGTCACGGAAAGCAACCAGCTACTCTGCTTTCTGCCAAAGGCTTTCCCTAGATGGCCCTCCAGATACAGACCTGTTAAATGAGCCGCTTTTTTCAGTTCCTTTTTCTCAGAGGGTGGACTGGGATGACCTGTATTATAGAGAGATGAAAGATACATGTAAAAGTGACATAATTACTATTCTTTTTTGTGGGACTCTAAACAGGGCATTTAAATAAAAGATATTTTTTATAAGCATAAATGGCAACAGTCTAACATACACTAATCATTCAAGTCCAAACTGTAGGACTTACAGTAGCCTATATTTCAGAAACAGAGAGGTAAAAAGGAGTCAAATTAAGATAGACATGCATAAATTATAATATACTACAAAACAATATAAAGATTGGTTTATAAAGACCTGCCATATAAGTTATTGCATGTATAACTCCCAACAATCCTTTGAGGTAGAGATTACTGTCCCATCTTACAGATGGCAAAATGAGCTTGAAAGTTGGGTGACTTGTCCAAGAAGACCCGCTAACTCAGTGTCAGAATGGCACCAACACTCAGGTCTCCTGAGTCCAAATCCAGGGCTCTTTCGTCCCTGGCTCTGCTGCCCTCGGGACTACAAGGACAAAGGTTGAAGAAGACTGCTAATGTCCAGGCCACCTCGTCTTCCCCAGTGGCATTCTACAGTTGGCCCCAGATTACTCTAAGGTCTCAAACACCTCAAATGACTCCTCATTAAACATGTAATTGCATACAGGTGTTCCCCACCACATGCTCTCTGCCCATCTGTCCAGCCTTCTCTGGCTTACTCACCCACACTGGACATTGCCAAACAACAGTTCTGAGCACACCCAGCATCCCTGCCTCTGTGCTTTTGTCCACGCTGTTCTTCCAGCCTGGAATGCCCTCCCAAACTGAACTCTGTGTCAAATTCCTATGGACACTACAAACACCATCTAAAATATCTCTTTTCCTGGAAAACCTGCCCAAGCCTTTCTAATCAAATATGACTTTTCCTTCCTTTGAAACCCTGAAGCACTCTTGTCTTCACCCTCATGTCGGTTCTGACTTGCCTTTTTTTTTTATGGCAACTGTATGACTCATCTTATTCCTCCAAATAAATGACAAATTCCTTACTATATGTTTAATCTACCAGAGTAATTAGCTCAGTTTCTAACCCAGGGCATGTGATCAGTACATGTTTGCTAAATTAAACTGAAAGATTTAAAATAGACAACAGTTCTCAAAATAGATACTATTTCTCTGACTTGAGATATTTCAGTGGAATAGCACTACCATTTGGCTAATGAATTCAGCTAACTTAGACTTTGAAGAAAGTTGCATAGACTAGTGCTCATCCCTAGCAGGCTCCTCATGGTTAGTCTATAAAACTCCACATGGTGTGTGGATGCTCCAATCAACTGAGACTATAATGTGAGCAGTCATTCCCTCTGTAGCTGCCCAAGACCACACACCATGAATGAGGTGTTAGCGAACAGGAAAGGCAAAACTGAGTCTCTTCTACATTCCTATACCACAAACCATCTGTGCAGCTATCTGGCATTCAGCCATGAACTGACAGGAAATGGAACAGAGAACCACATGCTGTCTATCTTTATATCCCTCACAGTGTTGGTCTCATGGAAGGTACTCAATAAAAATACCTACTGGATAAATGCTGGAATAAATAAAGTAGAAATAGACCCTACACTTTTGGTGATGACTGTTTCCTGCCCCAGGGTCTTTGCACATGCCATTCTCAGTGCTGGACTGCTTATCCCAGCCTCCCACTCCACCTACACACATACACACACCCACGTTAACAACACCTCTTTAGAGGGGACTTTCCAGACCACTCTATCTTAGGTTGCATTTAGCACAGCTTGAAAGTATGTTGTCTGTTTGCTTACTTTTGTTTATCTTCTCTAGCCTGCTAAGAGCTCCATGAGAGCAGGCCCCTTGTCTCTCTTGTTCTATCATCACCCACTAACCCACACCCAGCCTGGCATCCAGGAAGCACTCCAAGAACATTTCTGAATGAATAAAAGAGTCAATGAGTTAACTGTGGAAAAATGACAGAGAACCAAATAAGAAAGTTTAAATAATCTACAGTAGTAAGTATCTCCCAGTTAACCTGTTGGAGTATAAGTCCTTTTAGATGCTTACTAAGACTATGAAAATATGTATATGTATTTAAAGAGTGAATATTAAACTAAACACAATGTTTTATAACTTGTCTTTTTATCTCACAATACGGACTACACAATCTCTATGACATTCAATGTCCTTCTAGTATACAGTTTTAGTTGCTGCATATTATGCTCTTGTGTGAATACACTGTAATGTGTTTAACTAATTTCCTATTGAGTGGCATTTAACTTTCTCCTAAATGGTTTATTAGAAATAGTCTTATAAGCAAGTGGTGAATATCCTTATTATAAATTTTCAGGCACATTTTATTTTCTTTAGACAGCTTTGGTGATGAGATTACAAGGTAAATTAACAGTATTAATCCTTTGATATATTTTTCCCAACTGCTCTTTAGAGAAGGTATAGCAATTGACATGCCCACTGACTGTCACTAAGCAGACTGTTTTCACTCACATTTTTTGCCAACTGGGCTTTATTTTTTTAAACTTCACTAATTAGATGGGTCAACTTAGGTATCCCCCTTTTTAAAATTTGCATCTCTTATCTCATTAGTAGAGTTGCTAATTTGATTTCTGTGTGATAACACACCAATTTCTGGCCCATGTGGTTTGGTCTAAAGAAGACACTTAATACTTGTTAGTGGGAAAGGTTGACCTGACTCATCTGCTAACTTGATTTTTAATCACTAAAAGGACTCTAGAGAGTGTTGAAAGATGAGTAATTTGGTGCCCATTTTACCGGCCACATTCCACTGATCTTCAAAGCTATTTCATTTTAGAAATCCTCCAGAAGCTTTATTCTTCTAACAAACATTTGTACTCTGCTTGGGTACATCTGGAATTTCTCTTTACAGGTTCATACCCAGAACTAGAAACCAGAGGACCCTACCAATAGCTCCTACAAGAGCCTACCTTCCAGGGAAATAGGGTGACTTGGGTTTCTCAGGCACAGCCTGAGAATTTGGAGCAGGCTTCCCTGACTAGGTGACTAGTGCTGTCTTCTCTCTTCTTCCCAATTTCTAAGGATGAGATTTACTTATTGTCTTTGCAGAGGCATCTTGCCTGTAGTCTTTATTTCTCATTCCATGGCCATCAGAGACAGATAGGAATAGGAGTTTCCCTGTGTCACAGGGCCGAGCACATACTGGTAAGAGCTGGAGGTGACAAGGCATCAGGAGCCTGAGTTCCTTCTCAGCCCCATTCCATAGCAGAGATCTTGGGCACATTACTAACCCATCTGGTGTTTTGTTTCTCTTCTGAAAGATGAGATGACCGGACCAGATGTTCTCTAAGCTCCTTTCCATCTTAGTTTAATGAGTATTCTAAATCCACAGTTTCCGAAACTATGTCCTGAAACTTTAGGAGGCCGATGTTCAACATTGTCATCTTCCTGTCCTGGATCTCACACAGAGGATTTCCCTTTATTATCAAAAGTAGCACATGATTGTCTCTGAGTGAAGTGGGACCACCCTCTGAAAAATGCCTAACGTCTTCCTCCAAGCTTTCCAGTGGCTGCAAAAGAATCACCCTAATGTGGATGACTGGTTGCCCACTCTTTAAAAGCTGAAATATAACCTACTAAAATTTTAAATCAGGTCTGACTCTTAAGTAATCTCTTATAGAGTTTAAATAGGAGAGCAAGGATCTTTCCCAGGAACAGCTGTGTCTGCCTGCACCTCCCCTTCTCTCCTGAGGAGCTATAGCCACCGCCCTGTGCATGGGAATCAGGAGGCCTGAGGAAGGGGACAGGCCTGGAGCCAGCTGCTTGGGGGGCAAAGGTCCAGGGTTGTACACATGTGTTTCTCTTTCCAAATTCAAGTAGAAATTAGTTTTGAATTTTTTTGTGATACTTAACTAAACTAATTTTGAACAGTTAAACTCACTTCATATTTTAGGGCAGCTTCAAGAACCAAAATGACGAGAGATTTCAGAAATGGTTAGGATTTCTCTTCCGTAGTCTATATATGCCCAAGAATAAGATGGAATTCAAGGTACTCCTCCACCATGGTTCAGTGCTGAGGACTGTTTTTAGAAACTCAATGTGCAGGCATAAAAAAAACTCACCTATTTGCTTCTCCAAAGATGATGCTGTATGCCTTTGACTGGTGGACTGGCAAAAGAGAAAAGATATATAATAATTATGAAGTTCTTTAAGCAAAGGAAGAAGAATTGTCAAATAAACTAAGCACTGGAAAGGGGATCTAAGCACCCAGAACCTCTCCTAACTCAGACTCTGGCTAAGCAGTTGCACCTATCCATGCCTCCGTTTTGTGATTTGAAATAGTTCTAATACTTTTAAGCACTTTCAAGGAAATTTAGTTTGTGCATTTGAACAAATTCACTTCTCAGATGCCAAGTTCCTTTTCTTTCTTGAATCAAGTATGAGGTAGGTAGTAGAGTTCTTCCTTTCTCAGATGATCAGCCAACTGAGAAAGGAAGAACTCTTAACTGCCAGTCCTAATTTGATCCTGATCCCTCCCAAGATTGAAAATATTCCTTCCACCCATTTGAGCCCCCATTTCTCTGCAGGTGGAATAGGATGGCTAGCGTGATTCATTTCTAAGACAGGAAGAAAGGACTGAGAAGCACGCTGCAAGCCAAGTGTGGTCCATGTGGATTCCTGTCGCCCTCCTCCCACACTACAGCGAGGCAGTTTCACCCATCCCCCACGCCCGCATCTTCAGGGCACTGGCAATCCCCCAGGCAGCTTACCTCTCTGAGTTCTGCCAGCTCCTTCTGTAGATGGAAGAGCTGAAATATCCCCAGCCCCATTCCAACCAGGGCCACCAGAACCATGAAGAACATCACAAGGAGACACAGGCCTGTGTTGTGGTCCCTGCTCTTCTTCAGAGGCGGCGGCGGTAGCGGAGGCAGGGGTGGCGGCAGCGGTGGGGGTGGCGGTGGGGGCGGCCTCCGTTGCCCCGGCCTTCCTGGCGCTGAGGACGGACAGGGGAAGACAGACCCTGGAGAGGCCCAGGGGGAGCTGGCACTGCTGTCCACCCAGAAGACTGGGGGGTATGGATAATTCAAGGGCTGCTGCATGGCATCCAGTGCCTCAGGCCAGCCTCCAGCCAAGGGTTTTCCTCTTCCTCGGTCGTGCAGAGGCCCAATTTCTGACTGCTCAAGAGAAGGAAGCCGGTTCTCTCTTTATAGAGTTTCCAGAACCCAGGGAAACACCTCTCTTTCGTTCTCTCTTTCGGCTTCTCAAAGAGACACCCACTCACTCTGCATCTGAACCTGAGAAGCCTCAAGAAGCTCAGAGCAAACCCCCGGGAAGTTTCCGCCCACAACTTTCTGATGAAAGCTTTCAAAACCCCAATCGCTGCTGCCCTGCTCCCCGAAAGGTTGGTAGGGTGGGCTCCTTGTCCTCAGGCCCTGAGAGAGCGGGTAGTGTCAGCACAGCGCTGTGGGCTCCGGCCGTTGTTCAGCTACAAGGAGAGTGACCTGTGGGGCAAAAGCACCAAGTCAGGGCCAGAGGAGTCACTTCTGTGTCTTACCTTTGGCAGGAGGGAGTCATCCCCCACACCCGAGTACTATTTACCCTGACACAGCAAAGCACCGTAGTTTACAGGTTACAAACCTGCCCACCTACTCTATAATAGATCAGAGATCGCAAACCAGTGGCCCATATGCCTCACAGAGCCCTCAGACTTGCTTCGCTTGTGCCTTACAATGTTGTTTATTTACTGTCCTCCTCAAAAAAAAAGGGATAGTCCATAATGCAGGCACTCATCTCTGTTTTGCTGCACCTAGAACTCAGGCCAGAAAAGCAGTGGGCATTGCGATACTTTCAGTAACACAAAATAAACCAACCACTGATGCCTGAGGTTAAAGATTACTGTTGAGACTCACAGTGGACTGCTGTTATGGACTGAATAGTGTTCTTCCAAAGTGTAAGCACCAAACCCCAACCCCCAATGTAATTGTATTTGGAGATAATGCCTTTAAAGTGTAATTAAGATTAAATGAGGTCATCTGAGTGGGACCCTAATCCAACATGATTAATGTCCTTATAAGAAGAAGTAGAGGGTTGCCCTGGTGGTCCAGTGGTTGAGAATCTGCCTTGCAATGCAGGGGACACATATTCCATTCTTGCTCTAGGAAGATCCCACATGCCATGGGGCAACAAAGCCCGAGAGCTGCAACTACTGAACCCACATGCCCTAGAGCCCATGCTCTACAAGGAGAGAAGCCGCTGCAATGAGAAGCCCGTGCTGTCTACAACTAGAGAAAGCCCATGCATTGATGAGGACCCAGCATAGCCAAAAATAAATAAATAAATATTTTTTGAAAAAGGAAGAAGAAGAAGTGGTAGAGATAGCAAGGATGCATGTGTATAGAGAAAAGGCCAAGTGAGTACGCAGCAAGAAGGTGGTTATCTGTAAACCAAGAAAAGAGGACTCGGGAGAAACCAGCCCTACCAACACTTTGATCGTGGACTTCTATCATCTAGAACTGAGAAAATAAATTTTTGTTGTGTAGGCCATTCAGAAACATTGGGACAGTCCATATATGTTATAGTCATATTAGGTTTTGAAACACTAGACAGTCTGGAGGCCCTGTCTGCAAATCCAATCAGCTGCAGTAGGGCCACTGCTGCAGCTCTCAGGGACAGGACATGGGTATGCCAGGCTGCCTGGCTTGCAACAACCCTCCACTGTGTTCCCCATGAACCTCACTGTGAGAAATGGCCTTTCTGGGCCCTTTAGGCATATCTGTTTGCTACCTCTGTTATGGTTGTCAACATTTGTTGGATCATGGAGAAAGCAAGGGAGTTTCAGAAAAACATCTATTTCTGCTTCATTGACTACCTTAAAGTTTTTGACTGTGTGAATTACAACCAACTGGAAAATTCTTAAAGAGATTGGAATACCAGACCACCTTATCTGCCTCCTGAGAAACCTGCATGCAGGTCAAGAAGTAATAGTTAAAACCAGACATGGAACAACTGACTCAAAATTGGGAAAGGAGTATGACAAGCCTGTATATTGCATATATTTATATGCAGAATACATCATGCAAAATGCCAGGCTGGATGAATCATAAGGTGGAATCAAGATTTCCAGGAGAAATATCAATAACCTCAGATATGCAGATGATACCATTCTAACGACAGAAAGTGAAAAGGAACTAAAGAGCCTCTTGGTGAGGGTGAAAGAGGAGAGTGAAAGAGCTGGCTTAGAACTCAGCGTTCAAAAACTAAGACCATGGCATCCAGTCCCATCACTTTGTGGCAAATAGAAAGGGAAAAAGCGGAAATAGTCACAGATTTTATTTTCTTGAGCTCCAAAATCACTGCAGACAGTGATTGCAGCCATGAAATTAAAAAAAAAAAAAAAAACTTGCTCCTTTGAAGGAAATCAATCACAAACCTATCAGCATATTAAAAAGCAGAGACATTACTTTGCCAACAAAGGTCCATATAGTCAAAGATATGGTTTTTCTAGCAGTCATGTACAGATGTGAGAATTGGGTCATAAAGAAGGCTGAGTTGAAGAATTAATGCTTTCAAATTGTGATGCTGGAGAAGACTCTTGAGAGTCCCTTGACTTCAAGGAGATCAACCAATCAATCCTAAAAGAATCAACCCTGAATATTCATTGGAAGGAATGATGCTGAAGCTCTAATACTTCGGCCACCTGATGTGAAGAGTTGGCTCATTGGAAAAGACCTGGATGCTGGGAAAGATGGAAGGCAAAAGGAGAAGAGGATGGTAGAGGATGAGATGGTTAGACAGCATCACTGACTTAATGGACATGAATCTGAGCAAACTCCAGGAGAGAGTAGAGGACAGAGGAGCCTCGTGTGTTGCAGTCCATGGGGTCGCAAAAAGGAAGACACGACTGAACAACAACAAAACAGAAGATGGCGGAGGAATAGGACAGGGAGGCCACTTTCTCCCCAACAGATTCATCGAAAGATCATTTGAATGCTGAGCAAACTCCACAAAACAACTTCTGATCACTAGCAGAGGACATCAGGCACCCAGAAAAGTAGCCCATCATCTTTGAAAGGAGGTAGGGCAAAATATAAAAGATAAAAAGAGAGACAAAAGAGCTAGGGACGGAGATCTGTCCCGGGAAGGGAGTCCTAATAGAGGAAGTTTCCAAACACCAGGAAACCCTCTCACAGGCGGGTCTGGGGAATGTTTTCAAACCTCGGAGGGCAACCTAACCGGGAGGAAAAATAAACAAAACCCACAGATTACATGCCTAAAAGCAACTCCCAGCAGAGAAGTACCCAAGACACCCGCATCCGCCACCAGCAAGTGGGGGTGAAACGGAGTGGGCGGCATTGCTTGGGGTGGAATGGAGAGGAGCTGGCCGCATTGCTTAGGGCAAGGACCTGGGCCTGAATGCCCTGAGGGCAATTGGAGGGAACTAATGTGAGATAGCAACTTAAACTGTGGGATAGAAAGAGAGAGAGAGAATTAACCTGCAAAAAGCCCTATCCAAAGGCACTGCCAGCCGTTTGCAGAACAAAGGAAGGACTGAGCAATTCCAGAGAAGAGCTAGCCGACTGGAGGCAGGGGGGAGGGGAAAGGGGCAAACTCGTCCCCAGAGACGGCATCCCCTATCAAACTGCAAACAGGACTCCAGTTTCTAACCAAAGACTTCCTGAAATTCTGGATGGTTGACATCTGCCAGGAGGGTCACAGCCAGAGATTAGCTCCCCAGAAGAGACACAAGGCGCACCCGACAGGCATGCCCGGAAACTGAGGCTGGGATGGGAAGGGGAGAAGTCGCGCTGCACCTGAGAGTGCGCTCGTCAAGCTCGTGGCTGCCCGAGCTGCTTGGATGGGAAGGCACAAAATGCAGGCCCAACCAAGTCTGCACCTTTGTGGAGTACCTGAGAACCTGAACCTGAGCAGCTTAGGCGTGGGAAGTGCACGCAACTCAGGGCCTGCTCCCTGTAGAGCAGCCTGGAGCCTGAGCAGTGTAGACAGGGGAAAGCACACACGCCGTGAGCGGGGGCAAGCCCAGAGTGGCCGGAACACTGCTGCTGCTCCCCACACAGGCCAGTGACATTTGTCTGCAGTGCCCCTCCCTCCCCAAAGCAGGACTGAACAAGTGAACCTAAACAAGAGACCACCTCTGCCCACTTGTGTCAGGGCCAAAATTAGACACTGTAGAGACCTGTAAGCAGAAGCCAAATAAACGAAGGGAACCACTTTAAAAGTGACAGGTGCAACAGATTAAAATTCCTGTAGTTAACACCGACTACACTGGAAGGGGCCTATAGATATCGAGAAGTGTAAACTGGAACAAGGAGCTCTCTGAAACTGAACTGAACCCACACTGCCTGCAACGGCTCCAGAGAAATTCCTAGATATATTTTTACTATTAATTTTTTTTATTAAAAAAAACTTTTTTCTTTTTTTTAAAGTCCTCTATTACTCCTCTATTACTCCTTAATTTTCATTTTTATAACCCAATATAACCTTGCAAAAAAATAGGGGGGGACCCTATTTTTAAAGCACACTTCATATATATTTCTTAAATTTTTTGTGTTTTTGTTTTTTTTAATATTGTATTTTTAAGAGTCTAACCTCTACTCTAGATTTGTAATCTTCGCTTTTCAGTATTTGATATGTTTTGGACATTTAAGAATCCAACCTTCAGTACCCATTTTTATTCAGGAATGTGATTACTGGTTTGATTACTCTCTCCCCCTTTTGACTCTCCTTTTTCTCCCCCAGATCACCTCTATTTCCTCCCTCTCCCCTCTCTTTTCAATCCAATTCTATGAATCTCTGTGGGTGTTCTGGACTGCGGAGAACATTTAGGGAACAGAGGACTGCCTAGATCTGTCTCTCTTCTCTTGAATCCCCCTTTTTCTCCTCCTGCTCACCTCTATCTCCTTCCTCCCTCTCCTCTTCTTCATGTAACTCTGTGAACCTCTCTGGGTGTCCCTCACTGTGGAGAATCTTTTCACCATTAAACTAGAAGTTTTATTATCAGTGCTGTATGGATGGAGAAGTCTTGAGGCTACTGGAAGAATAAGACTGAAATCCAGAGGCAAGAGGCGTATGCTCAAAACCT